AATTAATCAGAGATTTAAAACAAGCCGTGGCCATGTACGGCATCCAGGCACCATAAGTCAGAGGCTTCATTAACACCATTGTAGGATCTTTTTCAAAAATCACTCAAGGCTCACATCAGCCTTAGAACTTCAGAAGGCCATTCAGAGGCAAATCTCAAATGAAGAGCTTCTGTTAAAACTGGCTGTTGAAAATGCAAATGAGGATTGCAAGAGGATTCTGCAGCCTCTATCTGCCCGAGGGGGGGCTTCCCTCTCGGACTATATGTTTGAAAGTAAACAAGAAAGCAGCAAGGAAAAAAGAAATGGGAGGGCGACCCCTAGTGGGCTGGCCTTTCCAGAGAACACAGATTGATTTCACCGAAGTACTAACTCCATACGCATATCTGGGCTATAAAATGCTTTCAACTACTGCCTATCCTTCACTTCCCTCTCTGTCTCTACCTTCTCAACCCACTCTGGTTCAACTTCAGCAATATCTGGGTACCATAAACTGGGCCCGACCTTTCCTGTCTTTAACCACTGATATTCTTTCTGCATTGTTTGAAGCCCTTACCTGGGGGAAAAAGCCTGCTGACATAATATCCTTGCAGCAACCTCAGCTTCAAGCAATACATCACCACAAAGAGCTGAACTTGCTGCAACCATATTAGTCCTCCAGAATTTTAATGAACCCCTCAACTTGATCTTAGACAGCCTATATGTTACTCAAATAGTCTCTACTATTCATGACTCTTACCTCTCTCCTGCTATTGATAAAAATCTTCTCTCTCTTTTTGTTACATTGCAACACCTTGTTGCACAGCGCCAGCACCCTCTCTTTGTAGCACACATTCGCAGCCACCAACCCTTCCCAGGAATCCTCCAGGAAGGCAATGATGTGGCTGATCAAGCAGCTGCAGGCATCATGACATCACACACATTGACTCCTTGGGAGAGCCATTCTTATTTCCATCAAAACACCAAAGCTCTCATGAAACATTTCAACCTCACTATGGCCGAAGCTTCAGCCATTAGACAGCAATGCCCCACCTGTAGTCAACAAGCCCATTCCATTCCCTTAGGGGTAAATCCCCGCGGGTTGAAAGCCTGCGAAATATGGCAAATGGACGTTACTCAGTTTCCCCCATTTGCCCCCTGGAAGTATCTGCATGTCACAATTGATACTTATTCAGGGTTCATAATGGCAACCCCGCAAAGAGGAGAAGCCTCCAAACATGTCATCAATCATTGCATTCGCACTTTTGCATCGTTGGGACGCCCAAATGAAATAAAAACAGATAATGGTCCTGCATACACTAGCACAGCTATGTCAGAATTTTGCGCTAAGTGGCAAATTACCCACAAATTTGGGATCCCTTATAACAGTCAGGGACAAGCCCTGGTAGAGAGAGCTAACTTAACGCTAAAAACAGCGTTAGAACGACATTTGATCAAAGGGAAAAGAACCCCCAGCCTCCCGGCGATGCAAGACACTCTTAATCTCTGTCTTTATACTCTCAACTTCCTCAATCTCTCAGGCACCCCTGCTATGACGGCAGCGGAGCGACATTTTTCCTCCCCCCCTTCCCCTGATTCTCCCAAACCACAGGTATACTACCGCCAACTGCCAGACCCTACTTGAAAGGGCCCTGCTGGTCTCCTCACCTGGGGTCGTGGCTACGCAGCTATCCAGCTTCCAGATCGTGTCCTGTGGGTTCCTGGACGACACGTCAGACCATACCACCCCAAGGTAGAAAAATCACCACCTACAGACATATCATCATGATTCGTCTCGTTGCCTTGCCGACCCTCTTCCTCCTTCTTGCTGCACATGCCTCCAAGGTCTCCATTCCATCTCGAGTGACGTACTTCACGCCAGGTACTCCCCTCCTGCTGACCTGCACTGCATCTGGGGACATTTTTCCCCCCTATCTCAGATGGTCAACACTCCCTCAGCCATGGCTCCACATCTCCAGCAATGCCTCTTTCCAGATCAACACCTTTGAACGCCCTCCTCGGACTACACTCCTCATACTTCGTCCTACTGCCACTGCCTATTATTGCTCTGGTCGACGCCTCTATGATTCCATACATAACATCTATGACTCATGGACAGTCCTCAGACCCCATTCACCCCATCGTCATCACAGACAACTCACGAATCAGCCTGACATTCATGCTCAGGCCCCCCCCTTTCCACATCGGGTTAAGAGATCGCAGAATCCCACCAGCGTGTCAGATGGCTGCACCCCCTGCCTGACCAAAACCACACGAGCAGGCTTCATTCAACTGACTCTCATCTACCATACCCAACAACCGCAGAAGTGCCTTCCTACCGGAAAAACTTGCCAAAACAACGGGACCATGTACCATCTATGCAAGATGAACTCAAAAACCATTTGCTACGATCCCAAGACGGCTGTTCGTCTCAACGTTACCTTATGGGCGGGACTTCCAAGAACCTCTGGCAGATCTGATCCTGAGGGGGAGGGAAAACTTTATTACCTAAACCACACCACCGTGCTCAAGGACGGTACTAACCCAATTGTTTTAACCTTTGATGTTTGTATTGCTTGTTCTAAACCAGGGGGGCATTCATGCGGGTCGGTTGACTGGAAAAGAACATACGCTCACAATCATAAATATTTGTGTCCTACACCCATCAACTGGGCCATAGGGAACCCCAATCAATGGGTCCCTTGTGGAGGTTCCATCGAGTGCTCAGGTTGGTCTTGTGTCTGTGATTATACTGGGGGAGGGTACAAAGGCTGCAATCATCTGTCACATTTCAAACGAATATCAGGGTCTACCACAGACAATAAGGTAGAAATCACCATCTCCAGACAACACCCTGCCTTGGATACTTATGGTATAGGGATTGATGGCACAGGATCGGATCCAAACACTTACATTACCATAAAAACCGAAGTGATATATGAAGGTAAGGAAACATCATTGGGCTGGTCGGTATATAATAATTTAAGGAAATTAGAAAAAGCCCCTGATACCAGTGTAATTGCAAAAAACTTGTTCATGGATATGGCAGAAAAAATTGCAAAACAACTTGCAATAACCAATTGTTTTGTCTGTGGGGGAACCACCACAGGAGAACAATGGCCATGGCAAGCCTTGGAAGCCTCACCATCACTGTTCAACAACATGTCTTCTGTAGGAAACATAACAGCTAGAACAGTTTCCGATCCACTTATCTGGACAATTACCACCAACTTAATTGGTAGAAACTGCTTTTCCCGAAATGGGTCCACTCCAGTAGGACACCTCCTTTGCTTAGGTACATGGGATAACTCCTACCAGACTTGGACAGCACCTGACAATGCTACCACCACACCTGCCAAGTTCAACACCTCCCTCCTCCCCTATCTCAATGACACAACATCTTCCCAAATTTGGACAGCCCCAAATAACATGTATTGGATTTGTGGTAACCTAGCCTATCCGTCCCTTCCTGCAGATTGGCAAGGGTCATGTGCATTGGGGTGGATAAGACCTTCCTTTTTCCTCCTCCCGATCTCCATTAAGCAAGAACTAGGCATCCCTGTGTATGATACATTATCCCGCAGGAGAAGAAACACCGATAATACCTTTGCAGGCTTCCCCTGT